GTGGAGAGAGAGGTTAATTACTGAATCTTTGTTCATCGAATCTACGCCCAACACATGCAATAGGAATGATTCATCACATATACCTCAAATATGGAAAATAATACTACCAATCAAATCAAGTGAAAAACAATGGAACTATATAAATGAATTTAGGAAGTCGTGTGATTAACTTGATATGATTATGAGCAATAAATTGTGCTCGAAACGTCATCAGTAAATATAACTGTATAACACTGTGAGACTCTATCAAAATAAAAATTTACCCATGATGGAATTATACTCTACCACAGTGCACAAGTTTTATTCTTATATCAATTAAATAATTCGTTTCACATAACCTCAAGCAATTATCATTCAATGAAAAGCTTGTTTCACTAATCCGAGAAGCTATTTTCTTCCATTTTTCGAGAAGTCTGATAGAGGTAAGTTGAAACTCATTTTCGAAAAAGTGCGTGAGAACAGACTATGAGTCAACAACGTCGTTGGATAGTTAAGACAGTGTGAAATGCCATAAGTATTGTGTATCTTAATAGACGATAAAAATTTGGTAGCTCACGGATTTGAGCAGGCCACCAGGAAGACGTCTACTCAGGATTCAGCAGACATTTCTCACTGAGACAAATAATATTTGAGTGGAAAATCTGTTCCTGGGTTACAGTGGTAAATTAAATTATTATTATTATAGCTAAATTATCTGTAGCACATATTTAGTTCAATCGATATCTTTTGAGAAATTTATCACACGACAATTCGTAAGTACATAAAAGGTTAAAGTGTGTCATTTGTAAAACGTCAGTTGCTTCATGATTTCTTCTTATTCGTGATAAGACACATATCGAGCATCTTCACGTAGTGGAACACCATCTTTGTGACGGATCAGTATTTAATATAATTAGGTTAATTACTGCGATCTCATAATGTTCAGCATGTGGGTGGTGTATATCTGAGTGCTTTCTCGTAGAGTGTGTAAACTAATTATCAGTCTGCGGAGAAACCGTTGTCATACATTTGAATGGTGCCGGAAATTTCTTGATTAGCCTCATGACGACGTGATCAAACTGAAAATTGAGTAATCCAATTTCGGATTTCATAAGGAATAATATAGGTATTTGAATAAAGCCAGGGTAACAGTGGTTAGTGCAGAATGATATGGTACCATCATTTATTTCGTTGGCTTCTCGTCAGCTGCTTACAGCCTAAGTAAATTATGAGGTTTAGGTACAGAAACGTTTTAACATACTTGCAAATTTTATATGTTGTCAGTTGACAGAAAGCTCCACAATTAGTGAACAGTGCTCAGAAAATTGCGATTATATATAGTTTTTACACAGGCAGTTCAAGTCAAAATAAATGTTTGCATACAATGGTAAAGGAGTTACGTAATAAAGATGAGAGTTGAGTAAGATGATAAGTAACTAATAAATTAGGCAACGATGTACTGAGTTCAACTCACGTCACAGAAATAAGAGACAAGCAAAATTACAGATTATAAAAAAAGAAGGGTGAGGTTAAAGACAAAGACTACGCAATCAGAGTAGAGAATAAAGACATCCAGTTATCAGGGCACGGAAAGACTAATAACTGCTTCTTTTTGAACACATAAATCTTGTTTGAAGTGTTTGATAGAAATTGCTCCAGGAAAAACTTCAGGAGAAAGAAGCACCTTCGCCTATTGATAATTTTGAACGTTTTTTGACGTCCAACTTATGACCCGTGTCGATCAGGTGTCTGGCGATGGCACTGTTTAAAGCATCTGTTCCCTTTAGACGTAAGCTTTTTGGTACATGTTCAGAAAATCGTGGATATGCTCTTCTTTCTGTTCTTCCAATGTAATTGCTTCGGCAGATACAAGTAAATTTGAATATACAGTTGGAGTTCACATGAGAAGGATATCTATCGATTTTTGATTGCACCAATGGGCAAGTTGTTCGATAGACTGAAACGAGCTTAGCTGCAAGAAAGGCTATGGCTAGTGATTTACTCAGCCTTCTGTTGATCATCGTTGAAATGTTTCCACCTTTATAATCAAGCTGAACGTAAATTGGCTTTTTCCCCGCTGTGATTTGTTTTACCATTGTGACTTCAGACCTTTCATACTTGTTGATGAACGTTTGAGGGTACCCATTGCTCTTTCTTTTCAAGAAACTCAAATTCTTCCTCTAATTTTTCTATAAAGCATATTCTTCTGGCTTTATAGACAGAGTCTTGACTAGACCACGTTTAAAGCTATTTGGACAAAAGCTATTGAAATGTAAGTATTGTCCTTTCCATGTAGGCTTTCGATAAATTAACTTTTGAAGACTACCGTCTTCTAGTCGTTCCATGGCAATGTCGAGGAATTGAAACTTTCCGCCACTTTCATGTTTTATAGTTAACTGAATATTGGTGTGTGCATCATTGAATAATCTGAGTAAGTGTGAAGCATGACTTTCATTGTTGCACACTATAAATGTGTCATCAACATATCGACAGTAGGAAGTCGTTTCGTCGACTGCATGCTTCAACTTTGTTTTCTCAAGATTTGACATGAAGATATCTGCTAAAACAGGGCTAAGTGGACTGCCCATAGCTACATCATCTATTTGGCGGTAAAGAGTGTTGTCAAATTGGAATTGCACATCCATGGTACACATAAGGAGTAGGCGTTTGAATTTCGACTCTGGGAGTGGGAGAAGATCAGACTGCTGACAAATGATCTCAATAGTTTCGTTAATTGGAATCATTGTGAACAAGGAGGTTACATCAAATGACACCATGAACTTATTTAAAACGTTCATGTGGTTCATACTTTCAGAGTATGTTAAAACTTTTCCGTACCTAAAACTCATAATTTATTTAGGCTGTAAGCAGCTGATGAGGAGTCAACGAAATAAATGATGGTACCATATTATTCTGCGCAAACCATTGTTTTTCGAAAATCCTGTAGTGATATACCATTTCATAAGGCTTGTTCAGATGATGATGAGAAATGTGTGTAGGTGCATGTGGTCTGTCAAGTGAAATGAATTGCACTGCCTGAGAAACCAATTTGCAATGCGTTCAGTGACGCCTTTTTCACTATGTTCAGTGTCTTTTCTAAATTCTGGGATATGGACTATTGACTCAATGGAGACGAGAATTATTCGAGACGACACTGCAGTTTAACATACTTAGTCTCATTTGTATATACATTCTTCCATAAATAACCAACTGTATATAATTTTTGTAAACCATTTGATCACTGAAACTAAAAGAAACAAGACTTTATATAGATTACGTCTTCTGTCGAACAATTCGAAGTAGTAATCTGTCATCTGATTGACAGTGATGCAGACACAGCATAGTCAAAACATGTTTCTAAAACCATTTGTAAACACCACGCTTGTATCCAAACAACAGCAAATTATTTTACACGAACTATACTTCTAAACGCCATAACTGTCTTCTGTTAGTGTTCAGTCTGAGTATGAAGCATCCGCACAGGAAACGGGTCACTGTCACGGTTCCTCAATCGTTAACGATCACCATATTTATTCAGATAACTGACAGCCTCGTGTCAACTACAAGTGGCATGGATGAGAATTTCAAATGCACGATTGAAAATGTATGGCAGACCATCAATTATCTGAAATCAGTGTTGAAACGTGCTGCATCAGGTACAATGAATAGGCTTGAGATTTTCATCAGAAATGCGCTCGTACAAAAGAACATCTTCCTAGTTTCCAACATTTATGCCTAATCAGTCTATGCCTATCTATGATTCAGAGGCCTAATGAGTCAACAAAACTGTTTCGAAGAGTCTATTGCAAACTTTAATCAATAGCTGCCTTCCCTGGTCGGATAGAGAAGATCAAATTTTGAAAAGGGATTAACAACAAAGAACTTCGTCATCGTATGTATCAAGAACTTGTTGCCTGATAAATATGCAGAATGAAATCAGGATGTATTGGACATTGCTTGAGGAGACCGTGTGAGTGACACCAGAAAGAACCTTAATTGGAATGCGAATGGGGAATGACGAATTTAGTGTTTTTCTAAGGTTGAATTGAGAAAATCATGTTAGAAAGAAGTGAAGGGTTATGGGTAATTATGAAGCCAGCCGAAAACTACTCCAGAGGACTCAGTGAGGTGGGCATGGGATGTTGACGCCTTAAATTCCACTGGAAACCCAATGGAATCATGAAATACACTGAATAAAAATAATATTAATCGATAGCTGGCTTCTGAATTCAAAATACGTATGATATATACATTTATTAATACTGAAACTGGAAGCCGAATTTTATACATTGCTTAACACAAAACAGAACAGAACAAATAATTCCACAAAGATGATTACAATTTACTGTTGAAATGAGAAGGGTTTGATGTGAAAGAGAATGAGAGTAATTCACATTTGTACAAATCTGATGTCATATAAAAATAAAAGATTACAGAATTATGTATTTAAGGAATCTGGTACAATGAAAGCATTAGAAACACATGCACACACATATGGTGGCATGATGAATTCAAATTTAGCTAAATGTGATAAGTCGCTTTTCATATATCGGTTACTACAATGTTTCACACTCATTTTGCAATGGACAAGAGTATGTACAGCGAAAATATGAGGTACAATTTCATCGAAGTTTGATTTTAACATTTACTAAATGATAAAATAAAGTGTACACTGTGCTTATGTATTGAGTCATAAAATTTAAAAACTTAACTACAAACAGAATTGCAGTGTAAAATGGTTCGCTTTGAATTCTCGTCTCTTATCAAGTAGTATGTACAAGGATACTTCGTATGGATCAAGAAAAAAATAGTATGTGGTAAACAAAATTATAAAAGAGTACTGATATCTCTGATAAACAAGAATGAATAAGTTTGATTTTTCTACCTCTTCATTTTTCAACAAGCAAATCTAGTAGTTGAAGGTCTTTGTTGTTTTCATAGGCGTGTACACATCGGAAACATATCGAGTGTTAACGAAATCACAGAAATATCAATGTTTCCACTTGGAATGAGATTCCCCTTTATTCCTCTGTTGTTGGGTATTCAGATTCACCAGGAGGTGAAGAGTTTGATCCATCATTGTCGGATATTGGTGATCCCGCTGGAGGAGACCGTCCACCTGAAGGTGGTTGACTAGTCGGTACAGATGCATATGGAGATGATGAATGAGGAGGTGGTGCTGACTGAGGGGATTGGCCAAATGATGGCGGTGGTCCAAATTGTGGAGGTTGTCCATTTGGTGGAGCTGGTCCAGATTGTGGAGGTTGTCCATTTGGTGGCGGTGGTCCAAATAATGGCGGTGGTCCAAATTGTGGAGGTTGTCCGATTGGTGGAGGTGGTCCAAAATGTGGGAATTGACCAAGTGGTGGAGGTGGCCCAAAATGTGGAGGTTGTCCATTTGGTGGCGGTGGTCCAAAATTTGGAGGTTGTCCATTTGGTGGCGGTGGCCCAAATTGTGGAGGTTGTCCATTTGGTGGCGGTGGCCCGAATTGTGGAGGTTGTCCATTTGGTGGCGGTGGCCCAAATTGTGGAGGTTGTCCATTTGGTGGCGGTGGACCAAAATGTGGAGGTAGTCCATTTGGTGGCGGTGGCCCAAATTGTGGGGGTTGTCCATTTGGTGGCGGTGGTCCAAAATGTGGAGGTAGTCCATTTGGTGGCGGTGGCCCAAATTGTGGAGGTTGTCCATTTGGTGGCGGTGGTCCGAATTGTGGAGGTTGTCCATTTGGTGGCGGTGGCCCAAATTGTGGAGGTTGTCCATTTGGTGGCGGTGGCCCGAATTGTGGAGGTTGTCCATTTGGTGGCGGTGGCCCAAATTGTGGAGGTTGTCCGTTTGGTGGGGGTGGTGCGGGTTTTGGGGGTTGTCCGTTTGGAGATGCTCCAGGCAAAATTGGTACCGGTGGAAGTCCAATTTCGTCCAAAGGAATACCTAGTGCACAGAGTAAAAATATTGAAACACACTTAATTACATTCAAAATATGGAATTAAGTAATTGATTTTGATAAAAACTCGCACAAAGTTAGAACACCTTTTATGTCAGTCAGGTTATTTTATTCCCAGATAATTTCTCGGGAATAACTGCACAATTATTCTTTCAGAAAGAATGCACAAATCATGTTACCAGCTTCTGAGCTGCTCAGTGTTTCTCTTTTTAGAAGTGCAAGAGATAATACAGTTTCGAAAAGAGTAATATATCTATCAGATTAAGGGTATGAATCCTTATTTCAAACTACCTACTATCGCCAATGATTTTCCTGATTGTAGTAGATTAGATAATGCGACAAACTGCGGGCAATGAGGAAACATACATAAAATAAACTCACACAAAAAACTTGGAGGATCTGGATCTGATATATGTCAGATTTCCCACAAACTGGAAGATATGCAAGTGAAAGGCAACAAGTTGGCAGAAGAAGCATCAAAGATAGGACTTCAGGTGAACATAGAGAAAACAGAGGCGATGAAGGTTCCTAGCCCATATCAACACCAACAACAACAGACGACAATCAGCATAGAAAGGAGAAATTTGAAAGAAGAAACCTCCTTTACCTACCTACCTTGGAAGTATCGCCTACAGGCGGAACTGACGAGGATTTCAAAGCAAGAATCGGAAAAGCAAGACAAGCTTTCATTTCTCTCAAGTCTGTGTGCAGGTCAACAGCAGTCGGCATGAAAAATAAGATTCAGATTTTCAACTCCGATGTGAAGTCAGTGCTACTATACGGATCAGAGACTTGGCGCGTCATAAAGAGCACCTCAAACAGACTATAGACCTTTATTAACAGTTGTCTTCGCTCAATACTGAAGATCAGATGGCCAGAAAAGATCAGCAACAGGGATCTCTGGCAATGAGTGAACCAACCAGGAACCGATTGTAAAACAAATAGGCAGGAAGAAATGGAGATGGATTGGCCATACTCTGAGGAAACAATGCATCAAGTGACATCACCAGACAAGCCCTCGAGTAAAACCCGAAAGGGAAGCAGCGAATTGATCGTTCAAGAATGACTTGGACGAAGTCATGTGAAGAGGAGATGAAAGTATGTGGGCAGACTTGGAGCCAGGTGACAACTTTGGCAGAGAACCGAACGTAATGGAGACGCACGGCTGAAGCCCTATGCTCCTCTAGGTATTAAAGGAAACAATAATAAATAATAATAAATAACATCAGCGAGACTATTCGTGGCTGTCTAAGCTTCCATCTACATATTATCGTGATTTATTTGTATTTATATAACAAAGTAAGATATCAGTTCATATCAACGTGTAACAATAACTCAGTTCAAGCCGACTTACTGTTTATCTGAACATTATAAATGTCAGCACTGATGAGTAGAAACAAGAGGATACTTCGCATAATTTTCACACACGGGGCAGTAATCAACCAGATCAGAACAATTCTATAATGAAGAAGAAAAAGCAGTTTAATGCGATGAACAGAATGAAAACACGATGATAATATCTGGTTTCTTTGTAATCCGTATTTCTTTTGAATATATTTACTTTAACATCAAAGGATGACTGAGGCTAACTGCACTCGACAATTATTTCTGGATTTCTGCCTAGATTTAGGTAGGCACGCAAATTCTAACTTGCTATTATTATTTGTGCATTTTACACTTAAATATTTAAGAACTGTTTCCCCAGCCATGAAATATGAAAGATGTTGGAAAGCAATGTTTACCCTCAAAGGTTCATTAATGAGTACTAAATATCTGAAGGCTGAAATGTCAAAGAAATCACAGTGGAAAAGCCAATCTTCATTCAACTTGATTTCAAAGGTGAAAATATCACAGCGATTGTCAACAGAAGATTGAGAACATGACTAGCCAGATCCTATCATGCAGCCAAGCTGGTTTCCGTCTATCGAACAACTTGCTTATTGTTTCAGTCAAAAATCGACTGATATCCTTCTTATGTTAACTCCAACTGTATATACAAATTTGCATTTATCTGCGGAAGCAGTCACATGGGGAGAACAGAAGGAAGGGAATACCTACGATTTTCTGAACATGTACCAAAAAGCCTGTGTCTAAAGACAGTAGATGCTTAAAACAGTGCTGTCACCAGGCATCTTATTGACATGGGTCATGAGGTGGACGTCGCAAGATCATTCGAAACTGTCATTAGGCAAAAGATTTCAGTTCTCCTCAAGTTTGCCGAAGCTATTTCCATAAAGCTCGTTGAACCCAATCTGTGCGCTGAGAAAGAAGCAGTTGTCAGTCCCTCCTTGCACTGCTTACTGAACGTTTTCATTCTCTCTTTCATCTGATTACACAATGTCGAAAGTTTCCATTGTGTATGATCATTATTGTTCGGTATAAATTGTTTAATATTTTTACTAGCATTGTATACATATACTGACTGAGTAAATTCTGTTTAGAGATGAACTCTGCAAGGATGTCAAGATTGTTTGTATAGGTGTACTTTTTGATGTCTTTGAGTTGTCAGCAGGTGATGAGAAGCTGACGAAATAAATGATGGTACCATTTCATTCTGGAAAAGTGTTGTTCTTGCTTTATTCAAATTCATAGAGCGTAATAAATGTATGAAATATAAAGCTGTTTAATTATCATTGTATTAATAATAATTACTAATAATAATAGTAGTAATAATAGTAATGGTTAAACTCACCAATTTCTCTAATGACAGATGAACTGATTAGCTAAATATCCCTTCAGTATTTATACAGTTTTTACCTGTTACACAATCACAGTTTATTATCACATGCTCATGTTGATTTAATGAGGTCATTCGACTTCTAGAAAAGTTTGTGTGACTGCTTCGAATCAATCAGATCGCTGGTACATGATTAATTGGTTATAATACAAACAGACAATATTAGTCATTCATTAGAAATAAATGACTGTAAACATTATAATGTCTTCGAATCAGGTGTCTTTTTTATTTGTTTTTTGGTAGTACAGTTACACACTGTTTAACACATTATTAAGAATGAAGTTGTCAATAAAAATTTACTGATTGATGACTAAGTCTTTATCTTGAAGAACGACTTATGAGTGATAACTGCGTGGGTGGTAAGAAAGATTAATTAGTTGAGTTTTGACCTGATACACAGTGGATGTTTCTTTTAAACACGTATTATCCACTTGGTTTTGTGAAATGCTGTAGCCTGCATGTTTAACACAGAAAAAGAACTTTTTTAAAGAAAAATGGGACTGTAAGAATTTCGACTGGATCAGTTTGTTGTGTAGATGCCTCCTTTCTGTAAGTTGTAGTTCCCCTTTAAGTCCAGCAGATAAATGTGGAAGTGAACTGCACACAGAATAAGGAACAAGATTCGGATTTTTAACAGTAATTTCAAATCAGAGATCTGGTGGTCACATCATCGAGAGCACTGGCAACAGGCTATTGTGGAATTTCATCATTAGCTACATTTCCTCGTTACTGAAGATTAGATGATCAGAAGGGGTAAGAAACGAAGAACGTACGATGTACAACGTACCGACCAAAAACATGTCGCCCAGAAAACATGAAGAAAAGAATAGAGATGGATCAGAATCATACTATAGAGAATGTCGAGTGACATCACATGTCGGAAAGAGTCTTAAAAGAAACACGAATATGAAACGATGAGTTAAGCGTGTGTGTGATGGTGGCATGAGGAGAACTTTTGAGAATGAAATGAAATTGAATGAAAAACCTTGGTGCCAGCTAAAAATCACTACAGAGGACACAGTTTGGTAGATATGTGCTGTTGAAGTCCTACATTCCACAGTGAACCCAAGGAATAATCAAATATAGTAAGTAATAACAGATGGCTGGCTATTGTCTCCGTTTTATTTCATGTGAATTCGAAAGCAGTGCAGTATATATGTGTATTCTATATGACACTGGAATAAAGAACTTGATAGATTCTGTAAAGGAAGAAAGTCCAAATTAGATGATAACATTTTACTGTCAAAATGGGAAAGGCATGATGTGAAACAGAAAATGATTGGTTCACGTTTATACATATAACAAATCTGAAGAAGTAAATGCACGTTTCAAGTGTTGGTTTCAGGATTTCGTCATGAGCTGACATTGGTGAGAGAACCATTGATAACCCTAAGAGTACTGGACCACTGTTTCGTACTAGTTTGGAACTCTTCTTCAGTACGCATCTACCGGGGTGGACATTCTTTGATGGAACCATTGAGTGACACTGCCAAATGTGAAATGTTGAATTGGGAGTGTACAGGAGAATGAAGATGTAATAGATGTAATGAAAGCCTACAGGCAATCTTGGGACTTTTGAAGAGGGTTAAGTGCAGACAGGCTGCTGAAGAACTACATCCCTATTGGAACCAAAAGAATAATAACGTATGACTTTCGAAGTGTGTCTGAAATTAAAAACTTTTGTAATCATGATTTCCTTTTGTGGTTCTGTATTTAAATAGGTTGTAAACACATCTGTTTCTATGACGGTGAGTGTGTGAGTGTGTTTCAAACAGTATTGTCGATTAAGTTTGGAATGTTTTCACCATGTTATAGATTATTGAATCTAATGTTCTGTTGATGTTGTATGGTGAGTGGAAATACAAAATTAACAGTTATAACAGCTTAAATGATGTTCACACTTATGAAAAAGTAAACAAATAAAAACAAAAATTGAGAGTATCACAAATATAGGAAGAGCGATAACAAAAAAGGTTGATGTTGTAAGGGTTGAGGAAATGGTTTATTTAGTGGTACAACGAAGGCTAGTTAGTTCATGCCTGACACTATTTTTACCACATAAAGTACGTGTTAAATATGGTATAGTGGAATTTTTATACTTAGACGTACGTGCATAAAGTTTTCTGAAATGACTTCTTTTTTTACCCGAGGAGACACAAGGTTGGAGCTGCGGGTAAAGTGGATGTTCTCAGTCTGACAAAATTCCTTTAGCAAATTTGTTGCATAACATAGTACCTATCAATGACGATGTTGACGATATGGCGCAATGGGATACCACTCGCCCTACTGACGGTCTTCAGAGTTCTACGAAGTATGACATGGTTTGTTTTAAGCAATCCCGGAAAAAATAAGGGTGAATAGTAAAGAAGAATAGGTAAGATGCACGAGTTGACAAACTGTAAGAGATCGGGTTAAGTTATGCGTGAGTTACTTAACTTCTTAATGTAAAACGTCAGACGAAATATTCTTTTAGAAATCGCTATGACATGGAAGACGAGGATAGGTCAGAAGAAAGGGTCATAGGAACCAACAGTTTCATTTAACTTTCGTTTACATCGGGAACTGAAATTAACAGTCTGACGTTTGGAAGGATTTATTTTAAGGCCGTTAGACGAAGACCATTTGCTAATTCCTGTTAGAAAGTTGTTTATCTTAGTATAGTCTAGCTGGGATTTAACAGACATTGCAATAGTTAGATCATCGGCATACTTAACAAAGTTGATTTCATCAGGGTGAGGTAAGTCATGGAAGAAGAATGAAAACAGAAAAGGAGAAAGGACAGCGCCTTGAGGGACACCAGCCTCAGTAAGCAATGAAGTGGACGACTTTCCCTGACATACAGTGTACTGCTTTCTTCCTGAGAAATAAGAATGCAGCCATTTGACAGCCGGACAGTCAGCTAGAGTTTCAGCAACCTTTTTTAACACAATGTCCCTAGGTACTGAGTCGAAAGCAGATGTATAATCTAGGAAGGTGCAGTGAACAAATTTAGCCCCCTTGTCTAAACCTCAGACAATGTTATGGTGCAAGACTGCAGCTGCATCTTAAGTACTTCTACTGTGTTTATAGGCGAATTGTTTAGAATCGGTAAAGGCTTTAAGTGAAGGTTGAAGATTAAGTAAGAGCAACTTTTCCATAGCTTTCGGTAAAGGGCAAGTAATAGCAATTTAAAACATGTTCCAGTAGACGACTTAGGTATAAGTACAATTTTAATGTCCTTCCAAACGGCTGGCACGACATTTCTGGAAAAAGATTTATTAAATATGTCCATGAGAGGATAACACAGACTATCTGCAAATTTTTTGAGAATAAGACTAGGCAAACCATCTGGACCTAGGCTACAAAAAGGGTTCAGAGACTGCAGGTATTTTAGAACATCATTTGTATTGAAACTAGGGAAGCAGGTTTCATTAACGCTTGTAACACTAGAAAGTGTGAAAGACTTGTTTAGTGTGCACACATCAAAGGAATAAGGAATACTGTTCATCTGCTTACCACCAGTAATTTCTTTGAAAATTTTCCATATATTAGAGGCATTTTTACAGGATATAAACTTTTGGTTGTAAATTGAATTCAATCTGTGCATTTCAGACTTTATTAGGATGTTAATTCTTTTTAAACCAGTGTAATCCTTCATTTTATATAACTTTTCTTTTTGCCTGCGAAGGTTTTTAAGTT